TTTAAAGATTTTATTTATTTATTTGAGAGAGAGCGAGAGAGGGAACACAAGCAGGGAGAGTGGGAGAGGGAGAAGCAGGCCTCCTGCGGAGGAGGGAGCCTGATGTGGGATTCGATCCCAGGACCCTGAGATCATGACTTGAGCCGAAAGCAGATGCTTAACGACAGCCACCCAGGCGCCCCAAGCAACGCTTACTTTAAAAGCTGCAGTTTGAAAAGAAAGTTCAATAACCATGAAATTATAGTGTAAAAATAAATAATGGAGTTAGACTTTTTTTTTGTTACGGGGAAAAAATGTTTACTCTCCTATTCTTTCTTTAGGGAATCTAGCTGAGAGCAAATGTTATTTGATAACAGTTACTCCAATATATGCTGATGGACCAGGAAGCCCCGAGTCTATAAAAGCATACCTTAAACAAGCTCGTAAGTCCAAATTCATTTTCTTGGAAATGTGTTGAGTTTTCTATTAACAAAGACATTTTATCTTTTTTAAATAAGGATATGCCTTACAGTGTTCAAATATAATAATTAAATTTTAGTAAATTCTCGTGATATACTGAATTATAATGATTTTCAGTTATCAAATACTTTTATTCTAGCACCTTCCAAAGGACCTACTGTTCGGACAAAAAAAGTGGGGAAAAATGAAGCTGTCTTAGAGTGGGACCAACTTCCTGTTGATGTTCAGAATGGATTTATCCGGAATTATACTATATTTTATAGAACCATCATTGGAAATGAAACTGGTAATGAAACTATCAGTTATTAAGAATTACTGGTGTTTTTCTTAAGCTTTTAAATGTTAAGTCTCACCTCCTTAAGTTATATATCTTAGAGTATATTATCATCAGAAAAGAGACACCTGAGAATATGCCTTATGGTTGCTTTCATGGTCCCATTAAAGAAATAACTGTGTTGTGCTTATGGGAGAAGAATATTATGTCAGAGATACGAAAGTTATTTCCTGAAAAATGTATTTTTTTTCCTTTTTAATACTTTTGCAATGTCAAATAAAAGCCAAATCAAGCAGAAACATTGAGCAGTTGAATAAGCCACACTTACTGATTTCTTCTAGCTGTGAATGTGGATTCTTCCCACACAGAATATACACTGTCTTCTTTGACCAGTGACACTTTGTACATGGTACGAATGGCAGCATATACAGATGAAGGGGGAAAGGATGGCCCAGAATTCACTTTCACTACACCAAAGTTTGGTAAGAAAGAATGATGTTTGCTCTTTGCTTCTCTTTTTTTCTTTTTAAAATTTAATCAGACTAAAAACAGACTTAGTTAATAAGCTAAAATTTTGTTAAAAATGTATCTTTGGATCATAGAAATGCATTTTTCATAAATTATGGTTTTTGTATTTATCGGATTTTGGTTGTTTCTTTAAACTATCAAAACTCACCTCTGTTATTTCATTAACTGCTTCTCACTGACTTCATCTATACTCTATAAATGCCAAAAGAATTTGTGTATCTTTCTAAATGGGCTCATATTTTCACTGGCAAAAATCGAGTGTGGTCTCTTTCCTCCTTCTCTTATTCCTCCTTTTTATAGGCAGGTTGCTGGAAAGATGAGTCCACACTTGCAGGCTCTACTTCCATTCCTCCAGCTCTGTCTTTGACGTGCTGAACCCAGGCCTCCAGCCCACCACGCCACTGAAATCTCCCTGATGTCACTCAGGGAAGTCCTCTTAGTTATGATCTCCAGGGCCTGCTTTTTTAGTCTTTTTTCTGTACTTCTCAGCATTTGACTCTGTTGGCTTCTCTTCTCCATCCTTGAAACTGCTTCTTCCCTTGGTTCTTCTAAACTTCTTTTTGTAATAGCACTCTCCTGAATCTTCTCTCTCTCTGGTACTTCCTCCTTGGCCTCCTGTTCACTCTTCTTTTTAAAAATGGTTTGTATTGGGGCGCCTGGGTGGCTCAGTTGGTTAAGCGACTGCCTTCGGCTCAGGTCATGATCCTGGAGTCCCAGGATCGAGTCCTGCATCGGGCTCTCTGCTCGGCAGGGAGTCTTGCTTCTCCCTCTGACCCTCCTCCCTCTCATGCTCTCTGTCTCTCATTCTCTCTGTCTCAAATAAATAAATAAAATCTTAAAAAAAAAAAAATGGTTTGTATTTTCCAGAACTCTGTTCTCAGCCCTCTTTTATTATCTACCTATTCACACTACCTGTCCGTGACTTCAGCCATCCTTTCTCTCCTTCCCAAATACGTTTCTCTTTTCCCTGACACAACCATCCAAGTCTTTGCCAAAGCCAGAAATTTAGATGATAGTAAATTTCTTCCTCTTTTTGCTTACATAAGCCAAGTATAAAGTCCTGTTGATCATGCCTTCTAATTACTGCTTTTGCATGCCCTTTTTTTTTTTTTTTAAAGATGTATCTATTTGAGAGAGCGAGAAAGAGAGAGAGAGAGAGTACATGAGAGGGGGGAGGGTCAGAGGGAGAAGCAGGCTCCTCGCTGAGCAGCAGGGAGCCCGATGCGGGACTCGATCCCAGGACTCCGGGATCGTGACCTGAGCCGAAGGCAGTTGCTTAACCAACTGAGCCACCCAGGCGCCCTTTTGCATGCCCTTTGATAATCTCTTTCCTTGACGCTAAGCTTCTCATGATTTTCTCCATCTTTTTCTGCTTTTCCTAATGGGTAGCCCTATGTTAGCTCCTCACCTTCCCTTGTTTTGGCTCTTCCTTTAGCCTCCCTAACACAGACTGAAGCTGCATTCTTTCTTGTTCCTACTACATTCTGAGTCAATATAGAAATTACCTTATTTTATTGTATTTGTAACCTCCACCCCCAAGTACCACAACCGTGATTGATAAGTAGAAACTACATATTCCTTATTGATTGAATGCTGAATGAGAAAATGAATGAATGAATAACTACATAAAATAGATAATAAAAGATCCTGAGCTTTGCTGTGATAGCTAGCCAGTAATGAACATAGTTTCTGGAATAAGATTTGTGGTGACATGTTAATAAAATATATATGTAACAAGTAATAATTGAAGTTGATCTTAAAAAAAAATAAGCTTTTAAAATACTATCCTGATTATGAAAGTAACATTCTGTAGAGCAGAAGAAAAATCCACTCCTAATCCTGCATCTAGAATAATCTCTTAACATATTTGTATATCCTTCTGGTATTATCTATGCATACATTTTTTTTTCCAAAAATTAGAGCATACTTGTCAGGATTTACTTCATCATCTGCTTTTTTCACTGATCTATTTTTTGTTTTGTTTAACTATTATAGCTTCTTAATATAGCATGGGCCTTGCTCCCAAAGGACCTTACCAGTGTATTTGAAGAAATACAGCATAAGTAAAGTAATTGAATGGAAAGGCATTTGGGCCATGTAGGCTGTAAATAGAGTGGGAATTTAAAGATAATTAGTAGGGGGGAGTTTCATCTTCAAAGATGATTTTATAAAGGAAACAGTACTTGAGCCTTGAGGTTAGGTTGTGAACAAATAGGAAGAGGGCATCTTAGGACAGAATGAGCAAAGGCCCAAGACATAAAAACCTAGTAAGTTTAGCAGCAGTAAAGAAAATGTTCTGCCTGAATTTGATTTGGTATGTATATGAAACCTGAGCATACAAGAGTTAGTATTTGCCAATCTACACTTTATTCCTGAGCATTGATCTGACTTACTGATTTGTGTTAAGCTTTGTAGAAAATAAAGTTACTTGCAAAGGGATGTGTGTGGTGCAAAGATTAGACTAAGTGAATAGCATATGACTATTTACTTTTATAAAGTTTTCCCATAAAAGACTAATTAGGAGGAGACTGGAGGAGTTAACCAGAAACAACCATAAGGTAAATCATTAAAAATTCCAATATAAACTATCCAATTAATGATTCATTTGGTTAAGTAAGCCCTCTTTTAAATGCAGATTAGGTATCATCTGCTATTTAGAAACCTTATGCTTACTGATTAGGTGATACTATTCCTACTACTGCCACTCCTTGTACTTAAGAATCTTAAAAATTCTGGGGCGCCTGGGTGGCTTGGTCGGTTAAGCGTCTGCCTTCGGCTTAGGTCATGATCCCAGAGTCTTGGGATGGAGCCCTGCCTGCTCCCTGCTCAGCAGGGAATCTGCTTTTCTCTCTCTCCCTCTGCCCTTCCCCACTGCTCATGCTCTCTCTTCTCTCTCTCTCAACTGAGATCTTTAAAAAAAGAAAAAAAAAAAGATTCTTATAAATTCTTAGCCGTTTATCAGATATGCCATCTTTTTTTTTTTTTTAAGATTTATTTATTTGAAAGAGCACACAACGCGGGGGTGGGGAGTGCAGAGAGAGGGAGAGAGAATCTCCAGCAGACTCCTTGCTGAAATGCAGAGCCTGACTTGGGGCTCGATCCTCCTGCCCTGAGATCATGACCTGAGCCAAAATCAAGAGTTGGACACTTAACCAACTGAGCCATCCAGGCGCCCTGACGCCATCTTTTTGAAAATAGTAGATAGCTACTAAAAATTTTATTTTTATTCCTCATAGAGGATCATATTTGTAGCTTCAATTACTAAGATTGTTTTACAACTTTTCCACTTCTCCCCAGTACTCACAGATCTCAAAGATAAACTTTTGTTAAGATTCTGCTGGCAGATCATAAATGTAATAAATGGTTAGGTTTGGGAGCTCTAACTTATAGATTATCTGTCCAATAAAATGAACTTAGTCATTTTATTCCCCTAACCAACATATAGTTTATTTTCACCCTGTGGCCAGGTTACAGTGTAAGGTATAAAGGGCTAGGATATCATTTACCAAGAAGAGGGAGAGGGGAGAAAACAGCCATTTAAGTTTGAAAAGGCTGTAAAAACAGGATGGTATTTCATCTCTTCAGCAATCCTCTGGCTGGGAAGTTTTATTGTTTGTGTCAACATATGCATTAACCATTGTTTTCCTTCTTACCCCTTTCTGTTTTTTAGCTCAAGGAGAAATTGAAGCGATAGTTGTCCCTGTTTGCTTAGCATTCCTATTGACAACCCTTTTGGGAGTATTGTTCTGCTTTAATAAGCGAGACCTGTAAGTACCCCTAATTTTATTTTTGCAGTTTTTCCCCTGGATTTATGCTCTATTCTCTCCCTCAACCTCTGGCCCCCACGTAATTACTGATTTGCTTTCTTTGTAGTTTTGCCTTTTCTAGGATTTCATATAAATAGAATCAAATAATATGTAGTGTTTTTATATAACATCTTTCATTTCACATGTTATTGAGACTTACTGTTGCATATACTATTTTTCTCCTATTTATTGAATAGTATTCTATGGTATAGATTTATCAAAATTTGTTGATACATCTGTTATGGAAGTTCACGTTGTTTCTTTGAATTGGGGCTATTGTGAATAATGTTGCCATGAATGTTCACCTACAGATCTTTGCGTGAGCATGTTATCATTTATCTTGTGTAAATACCTAGTAGTGGGATTGCTGGGTCAGATAGTAAGTGCATATTTAACTTTATAAGAAACTGTCAAACTATTTTTCAAAGCAGATATACCATCTTGTATTCTCACCAGCTCTGTGAGCCTTCCTGTTGTTCCATATTATCAACTCTTGGTACAGTTACAGTTTTTAATTTTAGCCACTTCCTTATCAGTGTGTAATGCTATTTCATTGTAATTTTAATTTCCATTTCCCTAGTAACTAGTAATGGATCTTTTCATGTGCCATTTCTATATATTCTTTTGTGATACATCTTCTGAAATCTATATATTCTTTTGTGATATATCTTCTGAAATCTTGCCCATTTTTACATTGGGTTGTTTGCCTTAATATTGAACTGTAGGAGTTCTTTATATATTCTGATTACAAAATTCTCAAATGTGTTTTGGACAATCTGGTCTTGTGGCTTTGCCTTCTCATTATCTTCATTGTGACTTTAGAAGAACAAAGTTTTTAATTTTGATGAAGTCCATTTTATCAGGTTGTGATTCTTGTGTTTTATGTCCTGTGTAGGAAATCTTTGCCTAAGTCAGTCACAAGTATTGTTCTCCTTTGTTTTCCTCTAGAACTTTAATCATTGTAGCCATATGTCTGTGGTCTATTCAGAATTTTTGTGCATGGTATAAGGTCAGGGTCAAGGTTCATTTGTTTTTTTTCCATAGATACCTAGTTAGTTGTTCCAGCTTTATTTAGTGAAAATACTTTTTTTCCCCATTGTATTAAAGATACCTGTCTTTGCCAAAATCAGTTATCCACGTAAGTCTGGATTTATTTATGGACTCTCAATTCTATTCCATTGATCTTTGTCTATTCATCCCAATACCATACTGTCTTAATTTTAAAAATTAAGTTTTGAGAGCAGTTAGAATTCTTCTAATATATTATTTTTCAAAATTATTTTGGCTAGAATCTTTGATAAGCTGATATTAATATTTATGTGAAAAGGAAATTTCCTTTAAAAAAATCTTGTACATTGTTGAGATTTTATTGAATCTGCAGGTCAATTTAGGGAAAAACTGCAATCTGAACATGAGTTCACATCTTCATAAGTCACATGTCTTTCAGTTCAGGGATATGTTAAGATCTCTTAGGTTTTAATTTTCTTTTGCAGTATGTTGTTGTTTCCATTAGATAGACCTTACACATCTTATGTTAAATTTATTCCTAAATATTTTTTATACAGTTGTAAATGGCATTTTCAGAAATTTTTATTTTCTAATTGTCCATTGCTAGAAATAGAAATACAACTTCTTAAAAAATATATTGTCCTTGTATACTAAGACCTGGATACATTCATCTACTCTAGTACCTTTTTGGATTTAGCATTTTCGCTGCTAACTAGTAAAGATGGTTATTCTGATGTTTGTTTTCAGTTATTTTTCTTATTATACTGGTTAAGTAAAACTTTGCATTATAACCAGTTTTAAGGGAGAAAGCCGTTCAGTTTTTGATCATTACATGTGATGTTGGTTTTAAGTTAAGGACGTTCTCTTATATTTCTATTGTGCTGAGAGTTTTTGTCATGAATGGGTGTTGAATTTTGTCAAATGCTTTTTTGGCATCTGTTGATGATCATACGATTTTTCTCCTTCCTCCGTATATGGTGAATTTTATTCATTGATTTTTTTTTCCACACATTAAACCATTCTTGCATTTCTCAGACTTTTCTGGATTCAGTTTGTTAATTTTTGCATTTATGTTTATGAGTGACACTGGGTTTTGTTTTTGTTTTTTTTTTTTTTGGTGGTGGGGTCTTCACCTACTTTTGAAATCAGGGTAATAGTAATTACCTCATCAAATGAATGGGGACATGTTACCCTCTCTGTCTTCCAGGAGAGTTTACATAGGATTCATATTATTTAAGTGTTTGCTAGAATTTACCATTTGAGCCTGAGATTTTCTTGTGGGAAGAATGTTAGTTTACTTCAAATTTTCTTTCAGTCTCTTTCAAGGAATTCATCCATTGACTGGTTGCTATTTTTGTTTAGGTTAAGCTTTTTATATTATACCCAGATTTCATAGTTGTTTCCACAGGAGAGTCAGTCTGTTGGGATCTTATTATTGTTTTTATATTTGAACTTACTCTAAAGATGACTCAGTTCCTGTACACTTAGGGATCTCTAACTTTGGGTTAGGAACTATATTAAGGTAAATACTTGTGAAAAAATGAAATTTATCATTTTTTTCTGGTAGTTATGTGAAAATTTTTTATGTGGTTTTAGTTGGAAATTAAACATTTTTGCTTTTTTTGTTGTTGGGAAGGGGTGTACTCTAAGGTTTTGTGACCTGGCTCAACTTTTTAATGGTTTTTTATTGCAGAATTTTATTTCAGTTTTTTAAATTGAATACTTAACAGTTTTTCATTATGCTAGATTAAGCTCATGTTTAGAATCAGGGACTATTCGTTGTTTATTACTTGTGGTTTTACAGACATTATATTTCTTTTCTCTCCAGAATTAAAAAACATATCTGGCCTAATGTTCCAGATCCTTCAAAGAGTCTTATTGCCCAGTGGTCACCTCATACACCTCCTAGGGTAAGATACAGTTTTTCTGACTTGTTTATACACGGGCATGTTAGGGTACATTTACAGAGTTGAACCAGATGATGAGCCCAAATTGAAAAGTAAATGATAATAAAGTATTATCACAACATATTCTGATACTCCTTATTCTATTCAGTAAACATGAAAAGCACTTGATTGAACTTGTAAAATAGAAAAGTTAATGTGTAAATACGGCTCTGTGGTAACTGTGTTGTAAGGCAAGCATTTTATATAGGGTATTAAAATCAAATTTAACAGTATACCAGTTTGATGCTGTTGAAATGATTTCTAGAAACCTAGACTAAATTCTTTGAACCTCCTTACAGTGAAATGACTGAACTTTATTACCTTCTAATAATCCTTGATTAATGTTAAAACATAGAACACATTTTAATCTTACCTTCTATGAGACTTAAGTCATTTGAGTTTGATTTTTCTAGTTTTTATATCCTGATAATCATAGGCTCCATAGTCTTTGTACACCAGTAGCTTATCAGAATTGAACAACAGTATTGATTTGGAGTTCTGATGAAATACAGTCTGATTCATGCTTCTCAGAATCGTTTCCACAATATCTGCAGTTCAGCTAGTTGACAGGGCTCAGTGATCCAGATTATCTCTGCACCATGGGAATTACTGAGAAGTTTCAGAGATGCATTTCTCTGTGGTCTTAACTAGAATTTGCCATATATGTTTCAGAGTTTCTGAATGAATATATGCCAGAGGTAATAATACATTTTTTTCTTTCTTAGCATAATTTTAATTCAAAAGATCAAATGTATTCAGATGGCAATTTCACTGATGTAAGTGTTGTGGAAATAGAAGCAGCCAATGACAAGAAGCCTTTTCCAGAAGATCTGAAATCACTGGACCTGTTCAAGAAGGAAAAAATTAGTACTGAAGGACACAGCAGTGGTATTGGAGGGTCTTCGTGCATGTCCTCCTCTAGGCCAAGCATTTCCAGCAGCGATGAAAATGAGTCTGCACCAAACACTTCGGGCACCGTCCAGTACTCCACGGTGGTGCACAGCGGCTACAGACACCAGGTGCCCTCGGTCCAAGTCTTCTCGAGATCCGAGTCCACCCAGCCCTTGTTGGATTCTGAGGAGCGGCCAGAAGAGCTACAGCTGGTAGAGAACACAGAGAGCGGTGTCGGCAGTCCGCCCAGGCAACAGTATTTCAAACAAAACTGCAGTCAACGTGAAACCAGCCCAGCTAGTTCACATTTTGAAGTTTTGTCAGTCAATGAAGAAGAGTTTGTGAGACTGAAGCAGCAGATTTCAGATATTTCACAGCCCTGTGGATCTGGGCAAATGAAAATGTTTCAAGAAGTTTCTGTAGCAGATGCTTTTGGCCCACGTACTGAGGGACAGGTAGAGAGATTTGAAACAGTTGGGATGGAAGCTGCAGTTGATGAAGGAATGCCTAAAAGTTACCTACCGCAGACTGTCAGACGAGGTGGCTATATGCCTCAGTGAAGACTAGTTCCTGTTACAACTTCAGCAGTACCTGCAAACTAAAGCTAATTTTATCTGTTATTTCAGATAAAAATAATCTTCACTCACTGAAGATGATCATTTGCCCTTGCGGACAACAATAAACTGTCCTCCCACATGGGCTGTTTCCCTTCCAGAATATCTGGGATTCTACTTTCAAGCACTACATAAACTGACTTCATCCTCTGAATAGCTGAATGATTTTTGTGCTGTTTCAGGATGTTTGCACTGAAGAAAAAGTAAAACTTTGTTTTGGTAGCTAGAAAACAGAGGGTATTTAAATAATAAGCAGTGATATACTTAGTACAGCTGTACTGATTTTAATGAGAATAAGGCACCAAATAAAGTGGCTGAGATAGAGTTAAGACAATTAGATGAGTGAGATCTAGACTCTCTACTTCAGCTGACAGCATAGAGAGAGCTGCAGGTGGCATAATTACATGAACCCAGTTTTTGTTGTCTGACCAAAACCAACCAAAAAAAATAGCGGGCTTAATTATAGTATCGCCCACAGGAAGTAGTAGACATTCTCTTCCATTGGTAATGATGCTGCCAGTCACTAGACGAATGGAATTCGAGTGTGAATTTTGCAAATTACAAAAAATCTTGGAATATTATATAATAAGTAATCTAAAATTTTCAAAATTTGCTTTCTGTCGTTATTCACAAATTCAGCAGAGTGCCCAGTTAAGAGCTAGGAATGAATGCCAAACTGTGTTAGCCATCTTAATAATTTAAGTCTTTATAAATGGCGAATAATTTTTAACATTTTTCTATATATATATATAAACATTGACCCTTTGTTAAAAATGCTGGAGAATTTGGTTGATGAAGCACTTTATACAATGTTAAATTAAAACACATTTTAAGGTGAAGATACATGTTTTGTTTTTATTTTTAAGTAGGCCAAGATTCAAAGGTTTGTTTTTGGGTTTTTTTTCCTAGTGTTTGAAGCAAACGAAGAGCACATGGGCACTACTTACCAAAATAAAGCACCATCCAAAAATGTACATGTTGATGTTAGTAAATGTCACAGCGCATACCCTGTTATAAAGGCACTTAATGAAGGGATAGTATTTTAATATCTGCCAGTTCTGAGGTAGGTGGAACTTACTTAGTTCCACACTGTGATTTAGAGAGATTTTAAACCTCTCCCTGCAAGTTCTGTTCTTCCCAGAGAGAAGTGAGCCAGGCTCCAGAGTTTAGCACTTAACCCCACTTTTGCATTTTTGCCATACCCTACCCACCACATTTGACAAGGAGGCTAGGCTAAAGACAGGAACAAGATGTATGAAGAGATTTTCATAAATCATTAGTGGTTGACCAGTGCTAGGAGGTACATTTGCAGAACGTATGTTTTGGTTTTCTGTCATATTTAAATCACCAAAACCAGGCCAACTTCAAATATTTTTGTAGAGGTTATTCAAGAATAAAAGGCTAAGAAAAGTTGCTATCCATTGACAGTTGAAATCTAATTCTACTCACTACTCTCTCAGAATATTGTTCATATTAGACCTTCTGTTTATTAGACTTTATATTCCTGCCTGCTGTGTTTCGGAGCACTTTCACACACGTGGTCCTTGTGAGACGGGGTGGAGGCAGAATGACAGGATGAGAAGTACATGAGGAAGACTGGACACACAGAAGCCAAATAGGGACAGAGGGACCCCAAAGTCACACTACAGGATAATGGCACCACCACCATTTAGGTTTGTCAAAGCCTGATCCAAACTAGGATTACATTTATCTTGCTAAGAATCTGTCAAGAAATATGTATCAGCTTTATTTTTGATTTCCTCTAAGTAAGTAGTCATGTTATTTGTAAAAATGGTCAGCTCTGCCCTTCCTCATGCTAAACAGCAGTGTTATGAAGAATTCTAGTGTGACATTTGTCCTTGGGGGCATGGGAGCAGTTATAAAATGTAAACTCACAATCTAAGGGAATGAGAATGAAGTCATTGAAGAACACTGTATAAGCAAATCTTCTGAAACTTGTATAGAACATGGTGCCCTGAGTGCCCCCCCCCCTTCCCAGGTGCAAGAGCACTTTAGACATACTAAATGGATAGTTGCTGAACCAATAATCCATTCAGAAATAGCCCTAGATTTGATTACTAATATGTGATAGACCTCTTTGCCCAACGAGAGAAGCATTCATGAAACTTGTTTTAAAGTACAAAATTAACTTTCCTAAGCCATGTCTTAGGATAATTTGTGGGGTTTTCTTCAGGTTTTTAAGATAATTTGTTTTGAGGCATGTAAATTGTATTTTACATAGAGAAACAAATCTTGTTTGTATGAAAATTAGTCTATAAGTTAGTAGATGTGATCCTCACTAAATCTTGAGTATCCAGAAATTTCCTTTAATGCTGACAGAGCCTCTCTATGGACAAAACTAATGCACTGCTTCTGATGCACTTGGCCTCACAGAGGAGTAAAAAATAAGCATGTGTGCCACAGGTATTGCTGTCGTAGTTTGACTGTTCCTGGTGTGTTTGGTACCCTACCCTCATCCCTTATAAAGGCAACTATGGGAAAACTCGCAAACTTAAAACCCATTAAAATCTAAAAAAAAAAATTTTAAACTTGGATCAGTCAGCACTCAGGAACATACCCAACATGTAAATAGAAGCAGGGGAAAAACCAGAACCATTCACACGTTCTGTGTTCGTATCAGTTCTCTACCTAGATGTTCATTTAATTTCAACCTTACACATGAAGTTATCTAATCTTCCTAGCTTACTGTGAAGTTCATTTCTACTTCATGAACCTTGTACTTGTAAAACATTTATGAAAGCTCATCCTTTAAGTAGAACATACTAGTTTTGTAATCAAAAAAAAATTTTTAATGTCTTTTTTTCTATCCACAGGGTTAACTATTTAAAATCATGACAAATAATGTAGAAGTAGGATAGTCGTATCAGACAATTCTCTAAAATTTGTTAATTGGCATGTATTGACCAAGTATAAATCAAATAGGAGAGCTCTTCCTCTGTTATATTCTACATCATTTTCCTATGTTTGGTTTTAAGAAGAAATTTTTAAACCAAAGTAACTTAACGTTACTTTGTTGAAATGGGTAATATGTCAATGTAATAAGCTATATAACATTTTTTAAATTCAATTGCTAAAAGTTACTGGGATACCTTTCTGTTGCAGGTCATGTTCAATTCTATTGCCTAAGTAAGATTGCTTTTAAAAATTCATTGCACTTTTCTATATATTGAGAATATGGAGCCATCAAATGGCAAGCTGTTTATGTTTAACGTAAAATTGGTGATTGTTGGGGCGCCTGGCTGGCTCAGTTGGAAGGGCGTGTGACCCTTGCTCTCAGGGTCATCGGCTCAAGCCCCACCTTGGGTGTAGATATTACTAAAAAAAATAAATTTTAAAAAATAAAAATACATTTGGTCATTCTCATGGATTTCAAAGATGGTATAAACTAGCAACTTACAGCCTAATTCTTTTAAATGGTCTTTTGACAGCAGTTCCTTTTCAGAATACTTATAAACAATTCAGATGTAAGTCAAAACAAACTTTCCAGAGCTAAATGTACTATCCTTTTGATTAATCTTTTTTTTTTTTTTTTGTCGTATGGGCTACTAGTATGCATTAGCATGATATTCTAGTATACATTGCATTCAAAAGAAAAAGGCAACTTGGTGTGTGCTCTACTGTTTTTCGTTTTTTCCTAAATTTTTAAGAGCTTTTTGCAGTCAGCAGCTCCTTCAAGTGGATTATTTAACTTCATTACCCAGTGCTTTACCGTTGATTATGATGAAAATGCATTGAAGACCAGTGGAGATAGCTAGATGTTCTAGATCTTTTATCCCTTAAAGATAAGCTTTGTCTGAATGGTAACTACACGTTTCAAATGCTGTAACAGGAATACCAAAATGTGATGTCAAATAAAGGGATATTTTAAAAGCAGATATTTGAAAATTCTTTAGTCTCAATACATGTTACTGAATATACTCTAAATAAAAGTGTGCAATTTGCTAGTACTACAGTACAGTGATTAGCATTAGGTGTGTAGTGTGTATCCTGTTTATATCCTAGCTATGTACCTTTTACTTGTAAGTGCAATCCTTTGAAGTTCGCTTGCTATTTTACGCCCCCAGTCTACTTCATATAGAAGGCTTGTCTAGAGAGACTATTGTATTTTTACCTCTGTAGTGAATTGCATGTGCTAATTGTTAACATAGCTATCGGTCTTAAGTTAACATAACTCTAAACATTATTGTAAACGTTCTTATGTATCAGCTCTAATCTTTCAAGTAAATTTAAGAAATAAATTCTTGTTTAAATTTTTTTCTGTCTGTGATCACTAGTATGATGTCATTACATGTAATGCTTGAGTTAACAGTATTTGTCACTCCTGCTGTTGGGTCTTAGTGTAAACTAGATGCTTTTAGAGGGTTCTGGGGCTTTTTAAATGTCCATTTAGCATAACGGAATAGGTTTTAGAAGAAAATCGATATATTATCTTGGTCTTAATAACATAGAATGGACCAAGAGATTGTAAATCTGGAAAACTGGTAAATGAATTTGCCAAGATGAGTTCTGGAATCCCAGCACCGTACCAACCTCCCAGTGGTTTTTTTTTTTTTCTACTGGGCTGCCAAGGGACCAGCCAAGTACAGAGGCGCCACCTAGTGGCCGGTCTGTAGCCACAAAGCTAAAGTCTCCTTAACAGGCATGAAAAGCCCGCTGATACACAGCATCCCACGGCTACCCCAAGGTTACTTAGTCTATGAAACTAAGGCAACAATTCCACCTGGAAGAAAATCCTGAACTATTAGATTTGCACATCTTCACATTGTGAATTTATCTAAAACATGCAGTGAGTCAAATCCACAAAATATTTAAGGAAGAAGGTACTCAAAGGCACTGAGATTCTGACAACAGAAAACCTAACGCTGCGGGAGCACGCAAAGAATGGAAAGGCAGCCATTCTTCCCTCTAAGACCAAGCCAGCGTGGATTTGGCCCCTTGTTCAATAGAGACTTACGAACACCTGGACTCCTAACCGGCCTCAGAGCCTAGCTAAGGACCCCTGAGAAAGTAGAAGCTCCACGTGCAGAATTTTGACCGGCAAGTGTTGGCTGCTCCTTGCTGGGCTGCATGTTTCATGCACGCCCGACAGTTCTCATTACCTACCGGGGGCCACAGGCTGGTGCGGGCGTTTAAAGGTGAACATGTATGTACCATCTGTGAAACACTCATGTTGGGTCAGTAAATCCTTAAAAATTCTCCTGAGGTAAGCATCAGAATTATTGGCCGACTCAGGTTTAACAACTTGCTCGGGGTCATATGTTAGCGCAATGGGGTTCCCACTCTACCCTGACCCCAAAGCCCATATCCTTTGCTGTGTACACCATCTGTCCCTAGCTGCTTTTAGTGAAAACCTTGCTCGTCAGCACATCTGTGGCCGGCGTGCACAGCGAATCACTTCTGTTTCCTAGACCTTGCTAACTCTTCAGGGTTTCCCCCTCCTCACCGCAGCCTCCGCCTCACCAGCTACTGCCCCCAAGATTCCCCGTCCCCAGCCCTGAGCCCAGAACAGTGTTTCTTCATCAGGATCCCCTTAGGCCCTCATCTGAGTTGGCTCAGAAGCCTGCCTACCCCCTCAGCTCATGCATTTGCTCTAAGCACATATAGCAACACCTACAAGGGAGGTAAATGTACTGGAATTTAAATAAAAACAAGAAAAGAAAGAAAAACAAACAGGAAGGGAGGGAGGGAGGGAGGAAAGGGAGGTAAATGTGTCCCTCTTTCCTCAGAATGCATTTTAACACAACTCCTACAGTCTCATTTGTCCCAAGGAAAGGTCCTCTAATGGTGGAATCGGGCCCACGGCAGCTCGTGACCAAAGGGCCTGGGGGCAGAACACCTTCCCTGAGTACTGAGATCCCACACATCCTGTCCCCGGCTGTTCTGCCACAGGATGCCCACGTCTGCTGCCCTGTGCACAGATCCATCCCCGCTTGTCCACCTCTGGGGCCTCTCCTTCAGGGTGGCTTCCGGCAGCTCCCGCCCATCTCCTGCCAATCCACTAGGGGGCAGCACCAGCAGCATTTGGGAGCAGTGGGATAGCCTCTTTGGGGACAAAAGAGCTGGCGGCACCAATGTGTCACCCTGTTCCCTAGCATAGGAATAAAGACACCTTGGTACCAGCTTTTCGCTGCACTTTACCATAAACTATGAACCACTGCATGGTCACACGACCATTTTCTGGGATGCAGAGCTCAGCAAGACCCTCTCACAAAGGATCAGCCTTGGTCCACGCTACACGGATCCCCAAAATTTGGAGTTTTGAAAACCAGCCTCACTCAACACAGGAGAACTGTGCTGCCTGGCTAGGCACACGGCTCAGACACAAACAGGGTGAAGGCAGGGATTTGATGGAAGCTGGAGACACAGGAGGGGTGACTGTTCCTCTGTAAGGGCTTCCTGAAGAATGAATGGTAGGTGTGAACTCTCTGCTCCAAGGAGAGAGTGGGGCAAGGCCATTTCCCCCCAATCCATCAGCACGGACCAACTTCCCTGTGCAACAAAGCGCCACCCAGTGGAGGCTGGAGCCACTTACACTAAGCCCCTCCACCCTGTGCCCTGCAGGTGCATCCTTACTAGGGCAAGTGTTCCTGAGACTCAGCACAGCAGGCCCCTCCCCCAGAATATCAGCACAAACCCCTCACTTGCACCACTTACTGATTGTAGAGTGCTGCAAAGCTTCCCCTCCAGGGGAAATAGGACCCAGCTTTTTTCTTTTTTTCCCCCTTTTGGATCTAACTTCTTGTAACAAGCAGACCAAAACACATCTAGTTTAAACCTGCCGCACAGTGGACAAGGTCCAAACACCACCCCCGCCCACCCCGCCCTACCGCAGTCAAGGAGCAACTCTGCAAAGACTGACCTGAGGGAAGGAGCAGCCAAAATACAACAGTAGAGTGTACACTCTGAAACACCTCCTGAAGCCCCAGGCCCAAGACAGTATAGGACCTCTTCCTATATAGTCATTACTCTCAGGAGCAGAACTATAACAGGCTTTCCTAACTGTCACACACACACAAAAAACAGTGACCTAGACAAAATAACAAGATGGAGGAATTCACCCCAAAAGAAAGAAAAGGAAGAAGTAACAGCCAGGGATTTTATCAATACACATATAAGTAAAATACCTGAACCAGAATTTGAAAATGACAATAATAAAGACACCAGCTGCACTTGAGAAAAGCATAGAAGATTCTACAGAATCCCTTACTGCAGAGATAAAAGAACTAAAAACTAGTCAGGCCGAAATTTAAAAAATGCTATAACCAAGATACAAAGCCAACTGGATGTAATAACAAGAATGGATGGATGAAGCAGAGGAACAAATCAGTGATATCAAAGGTAAAGTTATGGAAAACAATAAAGCTGAAAAGAAGAGGGAAAGATTTTGTATCATGAATGTATACTTAGGGAAATCAACGATTCCTTAAAAAGTAGTAACATTTGTATCATAGGAGTCCCAGAAAAAGAAGAGAAAAAGGAGCAAAAGACTTATTTGAGCAAATTATAGTTGAAAACTTCCCTAATCTGGGGAAGAAAACAGACATCGAAATCCAAGAAGCACAGAGGACTCCCATTAAATTCAACAAAAGCAGGTCATCACCGAGATACATCATAGTCAAATTCACAAAATACACAGAGACAAGGAAAGAATCCTGAAAGCAGCAAGGGAAAAAAAAAATCCTTTACCTACAATGGAAGACACACCAGGTTTGCAGCATAACTGTCCTCAGAAACTTGGCAGGCCAGAAGAGAGTGGTATGATATAGTCAATGTGCTGAATGGGAAAAATATGCAGCCAACAATACTTTGTCCACCAAAGCTGTCACTCAGATTAGAACGAGAGATAGAGAGTTTCCAAGACAAGAAAAAATAAGGAGTTTACCACTAAACCAACCCTGCAAGAAATATTAAAGGGGACTCTTTGAGTGGAAAAAGAAAAGACTAGAAATACCAACTTTACAAGTAACACAAAGGCACTAAAATCTTATCAATAATCACTCTGAACGTAAATGGACTAAATGCTCCAATCCAAAGACATAGGGTATCATAATAGATTAAAAAACAAGACCCATCTATATGTTTCCTACAAGAGACTGATTTTAGACCTAAAGACACCTGCAGATTGAAAGTGAGGTGATGGAGAACAATCTATCACGCTAATGGATGTAAAAAGAAAGGCAGAGTAGCCATACTTGTATCAGACAAGCTAGATTTTAAACCAAAGACTGTAGCAAGAGATGAAAAGGGGCATTATATCATAATTAAGGGGTCTACCCATCAAGATCTAACAATTATAAATATGTCCCCAACTTTGGAGCACCCAAATATATAAATCACTTAATAACAAACATAAAGGAACTAATTGATATAATAATAGCAGGGGACTTTAACACTCCTCTTATAGCAATGGACAGATCATCTAAGTAGAAAATCAACAAAGAAACAATGGCTTTGAATGACACACTGGACCAGATGGACTTAACAGATAAATGCAAAACATGTCATCCTAAAGCAGCAGAATACACTTTTTTTTTTTTGAGGGCACATGAAACATTCTCCAGAATTGATCACATACTGGGACTTAAATCAGGCCTCAACAAGTAGAAAAAGATTCAGATCATACCATGAATACTTTCAGACCACAATGCTATAAAACTTGAAGTCAACAACAAGAAAAAATTTTGAAAAGACCACAAATACATAGAAGTTAAAGAACATCCTACTAAAGAATGAATGGGTTAACCAGGAAATTAAGAAATAAAAATACATGGAAGCAAATGAAAATGAAAACATGACAAAGAGGTAAAAGACCTGTACTCTGAAAACTATAAGACACTGATGAAAGAAACTGAAGGTGACACAAAGAAATGGAAAGACATTCCATGCTCATGGATTGGAAGAATACTGTTAAAATGTCTATAGTACCCAAAGAAATCTACACATTTAATGCAATCCCTATCAAAAGACCAATGGCATTTTTCACAGAATTAGAACAAACAACCCTAAAATTTATATGCAACCACAAAAGACCCTAAATAGACAAAGCAATCTTGAAAAAGAAAAGCAAACCTGGAGGCATCACAATTCCAGACTTCAAATTATATTACAAAGCTGTCATAATCAAAACAGTATGATAGCAGCACATAAAAACAGACACATAGATCAATAGAAGAGAATATAAAACTCAGCAATAAACCCACAATTCTATAGTCAATTATTCTTTGAGAAAGCAGAAATGAATATCCAATGGGAAA